ATGGGGAAAAGCTACAACCAATCCTCCTAAAAACAGGAACAAGGCAAGGATGTCCACTGTCTCCACTCCTCTTCAACATAGTCCTAGAACCATTAGCCAGGGCAATAAGGCAAGAAAAAGACATTAAAGGGATCCGCATAGGGAAAGAAGAAGTGAAACTATCCCTTTTTGCAGACGACATGATACTATACCTCCACGATCCCAAAAACTCCATCCCCAAACTTTTAGAAATCATAAGTCACTTCGGCAAAATAGCAGGATACAAAATAAACCCACAAAAATCAGTTGCCTTCCTATACACTGATAACGCACAGGAAGAGAGGGAAATAAAGGGAGCAACCCCATTCACAATAACCTCCCAAAAAATAAAATATTTAGGAATTAACCTAACCAAAGATGTAAAAGAACTATTTAATGAGAACTATAAAAAGTTAAAGAAAGAAATTGCAGAAGACACTAGGAAATGGAAAGACCTCCCATGCTCCTGGATAGGCCGACTTAATATAGTAAAGATGGTGATACTTCCAAAATTAATATACAAATTCAATGCAATTCCTATTAAAATCCCAATGACGTACATCACTGAAATACAGAAAACAGTCCAAAAATTTATATGGAACAACAAAAGACCTAGAATAGCCAAAACAATTCTAGGGGATAAAGACAATATGGGAGGGCTATCCATGCCGAACTTCAAACTCTACTACAGAGCTATAATCACAAAGACAGCATGGTACTGGCACAAAAACAGACCCGAAGACCAATGGAACAGAATAGAAGATCCAGATATAAATCCACAGGCCTACAGCCAGCTGATATTCGACAAAGGAGCCAAAGACATACAATGGAAGAAACACAGCCTCTTCAACCGCTGGTGCTGGGAAAACTGGGCAGCCACATGCAGAAAACTAAAAGTGGACCCCAGCCTATCACCATGCACCAACATCAACTCAAAATGGATTAAAGACCTTAACATTAAACCTGAATCTCTGAAACTACTGCAGGACAGAGTAGGAGAGACACTTGAACTAATAGGCACAGGAAGGAACTTCCTGAACAGAGTCCCAGGGTCACAACAAGTTGGAGAGAGACTCGACAAATGGGACTACCTTAAAATAAAAAGCTTCTGCACAGCTAAATCTATCGCAACTAAGCTAGAAAGACAACCAACTAATTGGGAAAAAATATTTACCAGCAATATATCAGACAAGGGGTTAACATCCTGTATATACAGGGAACTCAAGAAACTAATCCCTCCCAAACCTAACAAACCAATTACTAAATGGGCAAGGGAACTAAAGAGGGACTTCTCAAATGAAGAAATAAAAATGGCAAAGAAACACATGAGGAAATGTTCATCATCCCTGGTGGTGAAGGAAATGCAAATAAAGACAACCCTGAGATACCACCTTACCCCAGTCAGAATGTCCCACATCCACAAATCAGCCAACGACAAATGCTGGAGGGGATGTGGAGAAAGAGGAACCCTATTACACTGCTGGTGGGAATGTACACTTATACAACCACTTTGGAAAGCAGTCTGGAGGGTCCTTAGAAAGCTAAAGATTGACCTCCCTTACGACCCAGTCATACCACTTCTAGGCATCTACCCTGAACAACAGGAACCAATATACAAGGACACGTGCACCTCCATGTTTATTGCAGCACTGTTCGCAATAGCTAGGATATGGAAACAACCTAGGTGCCCCACCACAGATGAATGGATCCAAAAATTGTGGTATCTATACACAATGGAATATTATGCAGCCATTAGAAATGACAAAATAATGGCATTTGCAGGGAAATGGATGGAGCTAGAAGGAATCATGTTGAGCGAGGTAAGCCAAGAACGAAGAGACAAACGGTACATGGTCTCCCTCATAAGTGGATGCTAAATCCAAAAGGTTAGTGATACGACAAAACTAACAGGACTTAAGAAACAAAGAACTCCCGCTCATCTGGTTGAACCACTACTAAATATCCTCATGCTGCTGATCACAAATATGGTATATAACATGTGAACACTGTTATATATTACAGACTGTGGTAGACAATTTGCTCCAGGGAAGTTAGAATGAACTTGTGACTTTGAAATTATGTAATCATTTAATCACAATCAAAAAAAAAAAAAAAAAGAACCTCGGGGAAGGGAGGGAGGGAGGGGATGGTAGGGGGAAAACAATGGAGGGGGTAACAATGTTCAAGAGGAAGTGTACTCATAACCTCACTCATGTAACTGTAACCCTCTGTATAGTAGCTTTACAATAAAAAAATAAAATAAAAAAAAAAAAAAAAAAAAAAAAAAAAAAAAAAAAAAAAAGCTAAGGGACAGTACCCAGGCTCTAAGTTCAAGCTCCAGGACTGGCATAAATATATATATATATATATATATATATATATATATATATATATATATATATATATTTAGTTTTATATTATTTTCTCCTCCTTTAACAATTCACTAGAATACTTGTCATAAGCTTCTCTGACATGCCTTTTTAGATTTAAATGTTTCTTTTTTTTTTGTCGGTCGTGGGGCTTGAACTCTAGGCCTGGGCGCTGTCCCTCAGCTCTCTTCAGCTCAAGGCTAGTGCTCTACCACTTACGCCACTGTACCACTTCCTGATTTTTCTGCTTATGTGGTGCTGAGGAATTGAATCCAGGGCCTCATGCATGCAAGGCAAGCACTCTACCACTGAGCCACCTTCCCAGCCCTTAAATGTTTCTAACATCACTAAATTGAGAGTATATATTCTAATTAATCATCTTAGCTTTAGTTTTTTTTTTTGTTGGTTATGGGGCTTGAACTCTGGGCCTGGGTGCTGTCCCTCAGCTATTCAGCTCAAGATTAGTGCTCTACCACTTGAGCCACAGCTCCATTTCTGGTTTTCTGATGGTTTAAACATTGGAGATACGAGTATCACAGACTTTCCTGCCTGGGCTGGCTTCGAACCTAGATCCTCAGATCTCAGCCTCCTGGGTAGCGAGGATTATAGGTGTGAGCCACCAGCGTCCAGCTTTAGTTTTTTTCTTTTGTTGGTCGTGGTGCTTAAACTCTGGGCCTGGGCACTATCTTTCAGCACTTCAGCTCAAGGCTAGCGCTCTTCTACTTGAGTCACAGTGCCACTTCCAGCTTTTTCTGCTTATGTGGTGCTGAGGAATTGAACCCCGGGCCTCATACATGCAAGGCAAGCACTCTTATTATTGAGCCACCTTCCCAGTCCCTTAGGTTTTAGTTTCTAACATTTAAAACACTACTTCTCTTTACTATTTTGTGAATTACTGATAAGGCACTAGGAAAAGAATACAGAAGACTAAGATGATTGCAAACCATGAATTCTTCAGCCAGTACTGAGTTCTGCTAATTTCATGGTTCAATACTGGGGAAAATGTTGACAGCAATCAGTCAGGAGGCTCAAGAATTAACGTGTGTGTGTGGAAAATGTTGACAGCAATCAGTCAGGAGGCTCAAGAATTAACGCGTGTGCGTGTGTGTGTGTGTGTGTGTGTGTGTGTCCTGGGTCTTGAACTCAGGGCCTAGGCACTGTCCCTGAGCTTCTTCTGCATAAGGATAGCACTGTACTACTTGAGCCATAGCTGCACTTTGGGCTTTTTTTGGTAGTTAGTGGAGATACGAGTCTTACAGACTTGCCTGCCTGGTCTGGCTTCCAACAGTGATCCTCAGATCTCAGCCTTCTGAGTAGTTAGAATTACAGGCAGGAGACATTAAGCACCTGGCCCAATTACTAGCTTTTATGAGAGAAAAAAAGAGCAGAATGAACTATTTTTTTTTGTCCAGTCGTGGGGCCTGAACTCTGGGCCTGGGCGCTGTCCCTCAGCTCTTCAGCTCAAGGCTAGCACTCTACCACTTGAGCCACAGTACCACTTCCAGCCTTTTTCTTTTTTCTTATGTGGTGCTGAAGAATCGAACCCAGGGCCTCATGCATGCAAGGCAAGCGCTCTACCACTGAGCCACCTTCCCGGCCCGAAAATGAACTTCTTAAAAACTAATTTTTGAGCTGGGTGTGGTAGCACAGGCCTGTAATCCTAGCAAACGAAAAATGAAGACAAAAGGTTTTGAGTCCAAGGCTGGACAGCCTGGGAGGTGTGTGTGTGTGTGTGTGTGCATGTGTGTGTGTAATGAGACTGTCTCAAAAAAATGATAATCTTTTGTATCATGTTATATACTGTAAGTATATACCATTTGTATTTTCAATTAAAACTGTAAAAATATAATTTAAACGTAAAAAGGTCAAAGCAACATTTATCCTAGTTTTCTTTCCCTTTTCACTCCTCTGGTATTCTCCATAGACTTCCATACTTTTAAAATAATTTTTGCCATTTACTAAAGATCTGTAATCCAGAAGAAATGAAAGCATCCACCAACCACAAGCCAGGTGACTACTTGCTTGGCCTCACTAGTTTTATATATGGCTACAAACTGGGTATACCTGGCTCTGCTTCTGTTTTTTTGTTTTTTTTTTGGGGGGGGTGTGTGGTCCAGTTGTGGAGCCTGAACTCTGGACCTGCGCGCTGTCCCTCAGCTCAAGGCTAGCATTCTACCACTTGAGCCACAGCGCCACTTCCGGCTTTTTTCTTTTTGCTTATGTGGTGCTGAGGAATCGAACCCAGGGCCTCTTGCATGCAAGGCAAGCGCTCTACCACTGAGCCACCTTCCCAGCCCCCCCTGGTCTGCTTCTAACTTGAAGTAGGCCTCATTTCCAATGATATAGAGTGGCCGAGCTATGTTTTTCGACTCAGAAGATCTCACCTACTTTTTCTTGGAAAGCATAAGAATTTAATACAAATAAGCCATAATTTCAAAGTAGCATTTAAACTTTACCGGGAAAAGTTTATGTACAGGAAGACCAGTAAGAAAAGGAGTCTGACAGTATTGTTTATTATATATAGATAGTAACTTACACATTTGCAATTTATTCCAAGTATTAAGAAAGGTGTGTGTACATATAGGAGAGTGCAAATATGGTACAAAGACTTACCCCTTGTGCATGAAGATATTCAACAGTTTTGGTTATAGTAAACAGGACAGCACTGGCCTCTCGTTCAGAGAAAAATTTCTGTCTAAGAATTTTGTCCAGCAATTCACCTCCTTTCATAAGTTCTGTTACTACATACACATATTTCCCATCATCATATACCTATAAAAGTCAATATCAAAACATAAAAACAATGATTTGAGGCTTTATTAGTGCTCTCAAGTAAATTTTAACACACTAAGGAGAATTAAGGTATCATATATTCAAAAACTTTTCCTTGTCACAGCCAATAGAGAATATGAAACTTGGAAACAAAACTTAGTGACAGTCCAGGAGACTCTTATCTTCAGTTAACCATCAAAAAAAGCTGGAAATAGAGCTGTGACTCAAAGTGATAGAGTGCTAGCCTTGAGCACAAAAGCACAGAGACAGCGTTCAGGCCCTGAGTTCAAGCCCCAGGATAGGCACAAAAAAGAAAAGAGAAGAAAAATTACTGAAAGCTCACTAGAATTTTGGTTTTTTACTTGAGGAAATTTTGAATTTAATTTCAGACCCTTTTTTTTGGACTGGTCATGGGGCTTGGACTCAGGGCCTGAGCACTGTCCCTGAGCTCTTTCACTTAAGGATAGTAACTCTTCTACTTTAAGCCATAGCACCAATTCTGGCTTTTTCTGTTTGTGTGGTACTGAGGAATCAAACCCAGGACTTCGGGGCTAGGAAGGTGGCTCAGTGGTAGAGTGTTTGCCTTGCATGCATGAGGTCCTGAGTTTGATTCCTCAGCACCACATAAGTAGAAAAAGCCGGAAGTGGTGCTATAGCTACAGCACTAGTTTTGAGCTGAGGGACAGCACCCAGGCCCAGAGTTCAAGCCCTATGACTGACAAAAAGAAAAACCAAAAACAAAAAACCCCAGGGCTTCATGCATTCCAAGCAAACACTCTACCATGGAGCCATCTTCCCAGCCACCAGACATTTTTATTTTCCTCTCACCATAGTTACTAGAAACCTTTATTTAGTTCCACAAGAGGTTCAAGGTTCTATACAGGTGCCAGAGGCACTAAATATGGAGAAAATGAAGTACGTACTTTCAAAATTCTTTAGTGTAGAGAAGCAAACATATAGATAAGAGCAAAACAGTACTGGAGATGTTATAACACGAGTCTGAGAAAAATCTTAGTGACTGTGGAATTGGAAATGAAGAAAGGAACAAAGATGTAAAAAAAATAGTGACAGCTTAGAAAGTTTCCAAGACTAGGCTAGAACAAAATATTTTCTAGATTTCCTTATGAATTTTTTGGATGAGTTCTTGGGCATTATGCTAATTAAAAATCACTTAAGTTGAATAGCTTCACATTTTATTGTGACTAAAATTATTCATCTAACAAGCAGTGAAAAAATAATCTGAGGAAAGTATAAGAGTTTGGACAATACCCAGACATGTCCTTAATGCCTGTGTAATCATCAGTAGCAAAAGAAGACTGAATGCTCCTAGAGAGTGTACAAGAAGTGTGCTCAATATTCTATAACATGAGTGGAACGCATGAAAAATACCACACTAGGAGGCAGGCACTTGGAGGGCTGGGGAGAATGAACCTTAGGCAGAAAAGCAACATGGGCTAGGAGCATTAGAGAATTCTTTGTGGAAGATAGTTTGGGGAGCCTATAGAAAGACTAATCAATCCTGAATATTAATTAATATTAATATTAGTCATTTGTGCATATGTTCAAGTGAGATACTAAATTAACATTAAAATATCTTCTATTCATTTTTACTTTTTAACATATTGGCTTACATGAAAAACTTATTAATGTAAAAATAGAAAGCTAACTATATAAATGTATTATAAAAGAAATTTATGTCACGTATGTTGCTCTCAAATCTACTTTGTTAACTTCTATACTGAGATCTTTGTCTACCTTGATATCTGAAAATATCTTCAAAAAAATCTTTGTTAAAAGTCTACTTACATCCTTTAGAGTAATAATGTTTGGATGCTGTCCATAACGAAGAAGGATTTCAATTTCTTCTGTTGGATCTCTCTTGCTTTTATCAATAATCTAAAAGGCAAATATTTATCATAACATCTCATGAACAAACTTTAAATTTTTAGACACATAACACAGGTATCATCTTCTGTAAATATTCTACATATAAGTCACTTATCAGCCAGTTTTATTCAACTACTTGGTCAGTCTGTTTAATTATTCTAATCCATGAATCACATTACCAGCATGTCTCTTCAATATATGTTTGTGCATGTTTAGTACTTAATTAAAATTTCAAGTGCTCTAGAAAACATAATGAAAATAGTTATCATATTTTTTCTCCAATATGTGAACACCTTAAGTATCTATAGTACCACTGACATTTGTTTATTGAATTAACTTTACTTAAAAGTACATTAATGGAGCCAGATGCTTATGTCTGTAATCTTAGCTACTCAGGAGGCTGAGATTTGAGGACTGAGGTTCAAAGCCAACCTAGGGAGAAAAGGCTATGAGACTTTTATCTCTAAATAGTGAAAAGCTGGAAGTAGATGTATTAGCTCAAGTGGTAGAGTGCTAATCAGCCTTGGGTGAAAAAGCTAAAGGACAGTATCTAGGGTCCTGAGTTTAAGCCCTAGGATTGTCATGTGTGTGCATGTGCAGACACACACACAGACACACAAATTTTGACAAAGCGAAGATTGTAGTTTTTTGAAATAGAGCCAGGCTGTCTTCTAACTTGTTAGGAGGCTTGCTTTAGCCTCCGGAGTAGCTGGAATCATAGTCATGTACCATTGCCCATGCTTCTTTCTTAGAAGAGTATAATTTTTAATTGGTACTGATATGCATGAATAAAACTGCTAGGACTGGATTTTAAATCTAAAAATATTTACCTTCACTGCAAACTCCATGTTTGTAGCTTTATGTATACATCTCTTGCAAACAGAGTATGAGCCAACTCCAATATCTTCTTTTACTTCATATCCATCAGTAAACTGAATACTGTTCCTGTGCAATTGCTACAAATAAAATTATAAATTGATGAAAGAGTACTGTAATGCCTTTAGTGTATTTCATAATAGGGGAACATTACTCAGCATGCACTGATGATATTAAACATAAATAGACTAATCTAAACAAAATAAATTATAAGTACAATAGTATAAAATAAAAACAAAAACTGCTTCTTTATAGCACTTATTCTTCTACAAGTGTATATTTATAGCAAGAAATAAACAGTTTATGTTAACAGTGAGAAAGAATATGTACAAAAGAGAAACCAGAGATACTTGATAAGGGGCCTGCATTCTTGTTTGTGATTTAACGCTTTTGGCTCCCTAAATCAGCTATAGGTTATCTGAAGCATCATTGCAAATGAAGAGAAGATTGAAACCTGTGTTGTAGAAGAAAAAGATTTGCAAGTGATACTAGTTGTCATTTTGGTCTTTTAGTAGCCACACACCACTTTCTTTACCTTCAAGTTATTGCTTTATGCAAATTCTATTAAAGAAGCTATTTATGCATTAGGAACTAATTACATATGATAGATGAAGAATAGCAAATTACTGTTTTCATAAAAAGGCTTGTGTGCTGAGTAATTGAAACCAGGGCCTCATGCATGCAAGGCAAGTACTCTACCACTGAAGCCACCTTCCCAGCCCCCTGAAAGGGATTTCTAAGAGTAATGCTCACGGTGATATAAAATGTATGTCAAGCTGCTCACCGAAAGCCAGCACATAAAATCTAATCTTATTATTCATAGAGTAAAATAGATCTACGACATTTCAAATGTAAAATTATCAAGACATCCACTCACCTGAACAATTGAATGTACACCAACTGTCTGCATAGCTTGGCTTTCATCATCTGAGGTAATAGCAACAAAACTAAACCCTCGGAAAAGCTGATGTGCATTAGCACTAGGTGGAATGCCTGGTGAATCTGCAAAGAATGAAATTATTTATTTTGGAGGTCTTATTTATTCTGGAGGTCTTCTCGGGCCACTATACATCTCTTACTTACACATATATCCTCTTACAGGATACCTCACTGAGGTATTACTTCATATCTGTACTGATCGCCTTTTGCTATCATCACCTTCTCAATGTAGAAAAGTTATTTTAGCACCATCTATTGATCTTCCTGAAGTGATGGAAATTTTCTTACCTATGATGTGCAATATGGTAGCTAGTAGTCACACATAGCTACTTAGCATTTGAAATGTACCTAGTGTGGTTTAGAAAGTAAATTTTAATGACGTTAAATTTGATTAGCTACATGTAGCTACTGGCTACCATACTGGACAGTGCAGCCCTATATGGTAACTTATCAATGCTACATGTAAAGATTCTTGTATAGAATTCTTGTGCAATTTATGTATAGATTGCTGGGTGAACATATGTCAGTCCATAATCTTCAAATGGACTTTTTCATCTTTCAGAATTTTATGAATAATATTAATGTAAGAATTTTTTTGTTGTTAGTGTTTGTTTTTTTTTCTTTTTAGAGGATGCAAAAGTCAGGCACAGAAAGGGAGGGAGGAACGGTGAACAAATGCATTCATACTATTCAGTCTATACTATGTGTAAAATGAACTATGTAATTTGTGGGCAGGGATGGGAGGGGGAAACTGATGAAAAGTGAAGGAAGAGGTGACATTGCTCATGAAATGGTAACCCTTCTGTATAACACCTTCATAATAATAATAAAATTAATTTAAAAATGAAAAAAAATCTTTTCACCCGTTAAGTCCTCTTCACAGGGAAACTTTTGATATATGAAACTATAAAATAAAAACTGAAGCAGGACGTTGGTGGCTCATGCCTGTAATTCTAGCTACTCAGGAAGCTGAGATCTGAGGATCATGGTTCAAAGCCAGCCCAGGCAGGAAAGTCCGTGAGACTCTTTTTTTTTGGTCCGGTCGTGGGGCTTGAACTCTGAAGTCTGGGCACTGTCCCTCAGCTCTTCAGCTCAAGGCAAGCTCTCTACCACTTGAGCCACAGTACCACTTCCGGCTTTTTTCTTTTTGCTTATGTGGTGCTGAGGAATCAAACCCAGGGCCTCAGGCATGCAAGGCAAGCGCTCTACCACTGAGCCACCTTCCCAGCCCCATCCTGAGATTCTTATCTCCAATAAAACACCAGAAAACTATTAAGTGGCACTGTGGCTCAAGTGGTAGAGTGCTAGGCTTGAGCTGAATAGCTGAGAGACAGTGCCCAGTCCCAGAGTTCAAGCCCCATGACCGACAAAAAATAAATAAATAAAATAAAATAAAACTTAGTAAGAAAAAGAAAGAATAATATCTGAGCATTTGTCCTGGTGGTTTAAGAACTTTTCCCGGGAAAATCAATCCCGTTTTGCTTGTTACTATTTTTTTTTCCTGGTCCTGGGGCTTGAACTCAGGGCTGGGCACTGTCCCTGAGCCTCTTTGTGCCCACAGATAGTGATCTACCATTTGAGACACAGTGCCACTTTTGGCTTTTTCTGAGTTGTTTATTGGAGATAAGAGTCTCATGGACTTTCATGCCCAGGCTGGCTTCAAACCATAATCCTCAAATCTCAGCATCCTGAACAACCAGGATTACAATCATGAGCCAATGGCAACCAGCTTTGTTATTATTTCTTTATGATTCCTACATGGGAGTTAGATAAAAGGTTGATATATAGCAAATTTAGGAGACTCAAGGTTAGCATAAAGAATTACCTTGGAAAAGATTTTTTGATTGAATAGTAGATTTAGTCATTGTCTTTTTTTTTGCAGAGGAGGGTGAATACTGGGGTTTGAACTCGGAGCCTTGCATTTGTTAGGCAGGCAATGTATTATTTATTTGAACTATGCCCTAATGGTTCTACTACCTTGAATACATTTTTATACTTTTTATTTACCTTTGGGAGTTTTTGCAGTAAACTCAGGATCAAAATAAAATGTATCTTCGGGCCTGCCAGTTGCAGGTTTAAAAGGTGGGTGAATTTCTCTTCTGTACAGTTTCTGTAGGAAAACAGAAATATTTCAGATATATGCTAATTATAAAAAATATTTCAAACAAGTATTTTTGGTGGGGATGGAACTGAGACTTTTTGTATGCTAGTCAAGTACTCTACTGAGTGATATCTCTATCCCTCAAACAAATTTTCATTATTATACTTACATTCCAGTCTATTGTTGAAAAAAATAAATGTCTTTTAATTTCTTCAACTCCATCTGGTCCTGCACCTATTAAAAATTGAATGAAAGTTTTATTTCAAGGAGATTATATCTATCTACCTATCTATAGATATGTATGTATGTGTGTATTTTTGTCTTTGCCTTTAATATTTGTCTAAATACCAACATAAAAAACATATATTCACCCCTCCCAAGAAACATCCAAACACAAATATACAAAAGAAACAAATTTTAATTAAAATTTTTACCTAATCTGTTTGCAGGGTTTCTCTTGAAAAGCATTCGCAAAAGACTCTGGGCTTCAGGACTCAAAAACTGTGGCATCCCAAGTTTGGCTCTAAAGAATAAATCCACATAATATTTTATTCTTTGAGATATCCTCATTAAAATTTTTTTATTTAGTTTTTTTTGTTGTTTGTGGAGCTTGAATTTTTTTTTTGGGGGGGGGGGGGGCCTGAACTCTGGGCCTGGGCGCTGTCCCTCAGCTCTTCAGCTCAAGGCTAGCGCTCTACCACTTGAGCCACAGCGCCACTTCTGGCTTTTTTTCTTTTTGCTTATGTGGTGCTGAGGAATCGAATCCAGGGCCTCATGCATGCAAGGCCCTGGACCACTTCTAGTTTTCTGGTGCTTACTGGAGATAAGAGTCTCACAACTTTTCTGCCGGGCCTGGCTTTGAACACTGATCCTCAGATCTCAGCCTCCTGAGTAGCTAGGATTACAGGCATGAGTCAACAGCACCTGGCTGTTTAATTTTTTTGATGCCAGTCTTATGGCTTGAACTCAGAGCCTGAGCACTGTCCTTGAGCTTTTTGCTCAAAGCTAGTGCTCTACCACCTGAGCCACAGATCCAATCTCAGTTTTGGTGGTTAATTGGAGATAAGAGTCTCATAAACTGTCCTGCCTGGGTTGGTTTTGACACTAATCCTCAGATTTCAAACTCTTGAGTAGTTAGGATTACAGGTGTAAGCTACCCACACCTGAGACATTTTTGCCTCAATGCTAACAGCTTGTGGAACTAGTGTTACCACAATTAGGATAGTGACTTTGTGATAATTCACTTATCTCATTCAGATGGCCCCAGTTTTACTTGTACTTACATAGTGTGTGTGTGTGTGTGTGTGTGTGTGTGTGTTTGTCGGTAGTGGGGGCCTGAACTCTGGGCTTGAATGCTGTCCCTGAGCTCTTCAGCTCAAGGCGAGTACTCTACCACTTGAGCCACAGCGCCACTTGAGGTTTTCTGGTGGCTAATTGGAGATAAGTGTCTCATGGACTTCCTGTCCGGGCTGGCTTTAAACTGTAATCAATCCTCAGATCTGAACCTCCTGAGTAGCTAGTATTACAGGCCTGAACCATGGGCACCTGGCTTTTAGTTGTATGTCATCTTATCATGTGCATAAATAAGCTCCTGTATGGATATGCCACAGTTCATTTAAGAATATCTGGATTGTGTCTAGTTTGGAAATTATGAATAGAGTTGCTATGAACACTCATGTATAGATTCTAGGATGAACACATAACAGGATGCCAGTCCATATTTTAATGGACTTTTTCATTTTTCAGAATTTTTTTAAGAACACTGGTTTAAGAATAATGTCTAAGCCATAGTTCTAGGTAGTTACTAAGTACTTTTCCTGCTTGTTACCCCTTCTTCAAAAGTGAATGGACTAGATTCTAAACCAACGGCTCTCAAACTGCAGCCTTAGTTAGAATCCCTTCTCAAAGGGAATTTAAGAAACCCAGTATGAAAAACTATGTAGACAAAATGTGCTTCATGCTACCTCTCCTCTTCTCAGTCCCTTGAATAGCCTTTGCAGAAACGGGAACTAATGGGAAAGATTTTGTCTGAACACTGAAGAGTCTGTGGCCTAGTCTGGAAAATACTGGCCTGGATAAACTTAAGGTCTATTTCGGATATAGTATATAATTTTATTCTTTTCCTAAACCTACAAATTAAGGAAACCAATAATCCTGTAAGTGTGACAATAATAATAGAGCTGGAGAAAATGGCTAGCAGAGAAATTCCTATTTTAGAAATAGATCCATTTATTACTCAATGAGTTGTTACCAAATTATTGTGTTCCACACTGCTTAGTGTTATGGACATAGATTTAAATCTAGGTCCCACAGTCAGTGAGGAAGGTGGATATAGCTAACTCTAGTACACAAAGAGATAAAACCACAAACAGTAGTGTTAAATTTAACATGGGTCACTGTGAAAGGTCTTCAAAGCAAGCAAAAGTTTGAATTTACATTAGATTGACTCATTTGGCCCACATTTATGATATCGAATAACATTAAATCCTTCTAGAACATAGCCAAAGAATAAAGAATATTTCATAATCCAGTGACTTTGTACAATGATATTTGCTATCCTTCTACTGGAGACACAGAATAAAATATATTGAATATAAAAGGACTGAAAAAACTCTAGACAACAAACCATTATTTTCTAAGTATTTGACTTTTGCATCTCTTTCTCAGAGACTATTAACATGTTGTGGAATTATGGTTCTATTGAACAAAACTGGGATAGCTCTGCTATATTTAGTAATAGAAATACAGAAGTAGGTCTCGAAATGGTATTAACATAACAATTCTTACTTTCAAGGTATTTCCAAGGATAGTAGAGAAGGATCTGGGGTGAAAAATATACTAGATGTGGTCCAGTAGTGTGGGTAAAACTGGGTAAGATGTTCCCATTGCTTGAGCATTGTGAGCAATGCAATGTAGAGGAAAGGCTGGAATGTGGAATAAGTTCTGAGATAAAAAATTAGAGCTGGGTGCTGGTGGCTCACGCCTGTAATCCTAGCTACTCAGGAGGCTGAGATCTGAGGATCGTGGTTCAAAGCCAGCCAGGGCAGGAGAGACCGTGAGACTCCTATCTCCAGTAAACCACCAGAAAACCGGAAGTGGCGCTGTAGCTCAAGTGGTAGAGCGCTTGCCTTGAGCTGAAGAGCTGAGGGACAGCGCCCAAGCCCAGAGTTCAGGACTCACGACTGGACCCCCCCCCCCCCAAATAAAAAAAAATAGAGGAGCAAGTTAATATCACAAGGAGAATAATAGTTTACAGAGTTCTAAGAAAAGATTGTTTTGTAACCATGGTTATCGATGAAAACTTGGCTGGCAAACACTTCTATGTGAACTGATCATTAATTTTTTTGTCTTTGACAATTAGCCAAACAAGAATAGCCTCACTCAAAGAAAAAAAAGAAAGAAGGAAAACCATCCCTAGGGTTAGAGGCATGCACTAGCCAATGAGCAAAAGCATCAGATATCCAGTTGGAGTCTCAGTCTCAGAAAAAAAAAAAAAGACTAACCTCAATCAAACACATTTGATCAATAGTCTTACCCAAGTAATTACACTTTTACAGATGAAGTCTTCTTATAGACCTTAAAAGCTTGCAATTTTCTCTTGCCCCCCTTCCTTCCTCTCTGAGTGTATTAGGGTGTGAATTCAGGGTCTTGTTCTTGCCACACAGGCACTTTATCACTTGAGCCACACCCCTAGCCCTTTCTGCTTTGTTATATTAGAATACATTCTTGAATTTATGTCAGGCCAACCCAAACTGTGATGCTCCTATTTACACTTGTTGAATAGCTGGGATGATGGACATGGGCCACCATGCCCAGCTTTTATTGGCTGAGATTGGAAAGTTTTCCTTTAGATCTTCTTCTTTCTGCCAATCAATCTATGAGATGCTAATTACAACTAACTAGTAAAAATGCTGGACTGGAGCTGTGGCTCAAGTGATACGGAGCTAGTTGACAAAGCAAGCCAAGCTAGAAGGTAAGGCCTGGAGTTCAAGCCATGGTAGTAGCGTGTGCGTGCGTGTACACGCACGCATGCACGCACACACACACACACAATCAGTTCAGGTAAGAAAAGGAGTAGGTGAAGCAAATGTGGAAAAATACTGAAGGTTGTTGAATCTATGTGATGATATACATGTTCACTGTACTATCCTGTTTTCCAGAATTTTATCTGGGAACTTTCATAATTATAAAACAAAAACAACAGCTGAGCAATTGTGGCTCACACTTGTAATCTTATCTGTTCAGGAGGCTGAGATCCAAGGGATTGCTGTTCAAAGCTAGCCCTGGCAGAAAGGTCTAGGAGATTCCATTTCCAAAATAACCAGCAAAAAGCTGGGCTGAAGGGGTGACTCAGGTGGTATAATGATAACCATTAACAAGCAAGCTGAGCTCAAGGCTCTGAGTTCAAACTCAAGTATCAGCAAAAACAAAACAAAAGACAAAAAAACAGGCAGAGGGATACATGGTCAAGCAAAAGAGACCAAAAGAAGCCAGCTGTGGTGGCATGTGCTCGTAATCTCAACATCTGGGCTGCTGATGCAAAAATATTACTAGTTGGAAGCCAGCTTAGGCTATGTAGTGAGACCCTGTCTCAAAACAAGCAAAACCATCAAATAAAAAAAATACCAAAAGAGGAATGTTTAAAGGTAAGAGAAGCAGATGCAAGTAGGAAAATCTAAGGGGAGGAGGGAGAGTCCCACAGTGTCAAACACTCCTTTATCATCCCCTGTCCTTAACTGCTGCCTGCCCCATTCCCTCCTTCACACATTAAGGGTACACTATTAGAGAACCCTGGCTTATCCTGTAGCTCCCACTATTACTCACAATTATGATATTTCTTTGTTTAAATATTAATTCCTCATCTCCCTTACTAAAACATAAGCTCTGTGAGATCACTAAAAATTTTGTCTTGTTCATACTGTTATCTGCAGTATGGTTAGCAAGATTTACCTGTTGAGTGAATTGTGTGAAAGAACAGTGGTTGGCTGGTAAGGTGGCTCAGTGGTAAGAATGCTCACCTTGCATGCATGAGGCCCTGGGTTTGATTCCTCAGCACCATATAAGCAGAAAAAGCCGAAAGTGGCGCTATGGCTCAAGCAGTAGAGCACTAGCCTTGAGCTGAAGAGCTCAGGGATAGCGCCCAGGCCCAGAGTTCAGGATGCACGATCGGAAAAAAAAAAAAAAGTGGTCAACTTTCTGATAACCAGCCATGAGTTTTAGCAACCAGAAGACCAATGACAACCACAGTGAAAGCAGTTTCAGTAGAATGGTGGGATAAATGACAGGCTGTGGAATCAAAGCAGTAAAAAAAACAATGGGAAGCAGACACTACTTTTTTTTGGGGGGGAGGGGAGGGTCCGGTCGTGGGGCCTGAACTATGGGCCTGGGCGCTGTCCCTCAGCTCTTCAGCTCAAGGCTAGCACTCTACCACTTGAGCCACAGTGCCACTTCCGACTTTTTTCTTTTTGCTTATGTGGTGCTGAGGAATCAAACCCAGGGCTTCATGCATGCAAGGCAAGCGATCTACCACTGAGCCACCTTCCCAGCCCAGACACTACTTTTTTTGTTGTTCTTGGTCGTAGGACTTCAACTTTGGGCCTAAGCGCTGTCCCTCAGCTCTTCAGCTCAAGGTGAGAGTTCTACCACTTGAGCCACAGCGCCACTTCCAGTTTTCTGAGTGGTTTATTGGAGATGAGCGTCTCACAGACTTTCCTGCCCAGGCTGGCTTTGAACCGTGGTCCTCAGATCTCAGCTTCCTGGGTTGCTAGGATTACAGGCGTGAGCCACCGGTGCCCGGCCAGACACTACTCTTTAAAGTGGGTTTGTACTGAAATACTGTAGGAAGATGTGCAGTAACTGGGAAGGAAGGGGTAGGTCAAAGAGAGGGTTTGGTTTTGTCAACATTACAGTGTGTCTGTTAGCTGAAAGTAGAAAGAAGATAAAATGAAGATTCAGTGATGCGAATATCCATTCCCTCATTTATGTAGTACTCACTTTTAACCTTTTGTATTGCAAGAATAACATAAAATACCAAAAAATCTCTCTCCAAACAAAATAACCACCCGAAGTACACAGCTCAGTGATTCACCACCAAGTGAATAAGCTATCTGACCATGACATATAACATTCCCAGAAACCTTCATTCAACATAACCACTTTCCTTCTTTTGATTGTGGCTTTTACCATCTAAATATGGGCCCTAAAATACTTTAGTTTTGCTTGTTTAGTAAACTTTATAGAAAGAATCATATAGTCTTTATTCTTTAGTGTTTGAACTTCCTTTGCATAACATTCTTCTGGGAATCTAAGTTGCAGTAAGTACATACTGTACAATATGGCACATCATACCCCTGGGCCAAAGGCTTGGACCTGGTTTTGTATGGTTCTTTAGTTAAGAACTGTTTTAGCTGGGTGTGGTGATACATATGCATAATCCAAGCACTTGGGAGGGGATAAGGGAGGATAGTGGTGAGGTCGAAGCTAAATTGGACTACATAGTAAGACGCTGCTGCAAAAAAAAGAAAAGCAAGAATCATTTTATGATTTTTATAGTGTGCCCTGCAAAACCCAGAGTATTTGCAGATAAATACAATTCCTATTGTATTCAACTATATAAATATATTATGATTTGTCTACTGCTAAGTGTTCCAGTTTTCACTATTTCAATAAGGTTGCTATGCATGGCTTTATATTTGTTTTCTGTTGTACCTTGATGAATATAAATTGACTGCATGCCTAGGAGTGGGATAAATATATAAAAATATACATATGTTTGTCTGAGGACAAGAACTGCTTTCCAAAGTAGTTATATTAACCTTTATTTGTGTATGTGTGTGTGTGTGTGTTGGTACTGCACTTCAGCTCAGGGCCTAGGGACTTTTGGGTTTTTAAAACTTTTTTTGGTCTACCTTATCTCATATTATCTTCTCAATCTTTAGATGACAAGCTTTTTCCAGCATAATTTTCTGCTCTGTATTATTTCCCCATAGTAAATTAAGGGTTTATATATATGAAGGTGTGTGTGTGTGTGTATGTTTCTGGCCTCTATTCTACTGCATAAGACTTCTTTCCATATTAATTTCAATGCCACATTGTCCTAATGATAAGATTCATACAAGTAAAGCAAGTCTTCCTATCTTGAGCAAGAGGGTTTTAGTTATTCTTCAAACATTATCAAAAGTTTAATCAGTTTATCAAGTTCTACATAAAACTTACTAGGAATTTTATTTAATTTTCATTGAAACTCTAAGTTTATAACCCTGTGTAGCAGTCACTAGCCACATATGGCCACGGTGTACTTAAAATGTTGCCAGTACAAATTGTAAGTGAAAAATACATGCTAAATTTCAAATTTCAAAAAATAACATCTCATTCTCTTTCAAAGACAGTTTACATGTTAAATGCTAATACTTTAGATACTGGCTTAATTCTTTTTTTTTTTTTTTTTTTTTAGTCAGTGTTTTTTTTTTTTATTGTAAAGCTACTATACAGAGGGTTACAGTTACATGAGTGAGGTTATGAGTACACTTCCTCTTGAACATTGTTACCCCCTCCATTGTTTTCCCCCTACCATCCCCTCCCTCCCTCCCTTCCCCGAGGTTCTTTTTTTTTTTTTTTTGATTGTGATTAAATGATTACATAATTTCAAAGTCACAAGTTCATTCTAACTTCCCTGGAGCAAATTGTCTACCACAGTCTGTAATATACAAATAATTCTATCTTATTACAATTAATTCTAATAACTTTTTTTTTTTGGTTGGTCATGGGGCTTGAACTCTGGGCTTGGGCGCTGTCCCTCAGCTCTTCAGCTCAAGGCGAGTGCTCTACCACTTGAGCCACAGCGCCACTTCCGGTTTTCTAGTGCTTTATGGAGATAAGAGTCTCACGGACTTTCCTGCCCAGGCTGGCTTTGAACCGCGATCCTCAGATTTCAGCCTCCTGAGTAGCTAGGATTACAGGTGTGAGTCACCGGCGCCTGGCTTCTAATAACTTTTTGTCAGCTGTGGGGCTTGAACTCTGGGCCTGGACACTGTCCCTCACCTCTTCAGCTCAAGGCCAGCACTCTACACTTGAGCCACAGTGATGCTTCCAGATTTCTGGTGGTTTATTGGAGGTAAGAGTATCACAGACATTCTTGCCCGGGCTGTCTTTGAACCGTAATCCTCAGATTTCAGCCTCCTGAATAGCTAAGATTACAGGTGTGAGCCACCAGCGCCCAGCCGATAACTTTTGTTTTTTAAAGTGTACTTACTAGAAAACATACGTGGTTCGCACTACATTCTTTTGGATAATACTGGTTTATAGAACCCAAGTCTTTGTAACACTGGGTCTGTCATAATATAAATATGAATTTTCCTGTAAGTTAAATTTTTTGTTTAAAAATTCTCTATTTTCTTCATATAGGTCTTGTGTAGCTTTTGCTAGATATTTTCCCTCGAAATGTGATCATTTTATTTAGTTTTTGTTAGTTGTGGGGCTTTAATTCAGGCCTAGACACTATTCCTGAGCTCTTTTACTCAAGGCTAGCACTCTACCACTTGAGCTACAGTGTCAATTCTGGTTTTCCACTGGCTAACTGGTAATAAGAGTCTCAAAGACTTTCCTACCCAGGCTGGCTTTGACCTGTCATCCTGAGACCTCGGCTAGGATTCCAGGCAAAAGCCACCAGTGCCTGGCATTTTAATATTTTTGTAAACAGTACCTGTTTTTGAATTTTCATTTTTCTGTTACTAGACTACATAAATGAAAGATTTACATGAAAAAGAGTTTTATGTATCGACCTTGTAAAGCCTGCAACTTTGCCAAGTTTATTTCAGAATTTATATGATAACTAGATTTTTCTAATGACATGCTATCTAAATAATGCAATTTTATGTTTGTCTTTATTTATTTATTTTTTTGGTGTGTGGGGATGCAGGTCCTAGGGCTTTAACTCAGGGTCTAGGCACTGTCCCTGAGCTTTTCTGCTTAAGGCTAGTACTCTACCACTTTAAGCCACAGCACCATTTCTGTCTTTTGGGTAGTTAATTAGAGATTTTCTGCCTGGGCTGACTTTGAACTGCAATCCTCAGATCTCAGCCTCCTGAATCCTCCTAGGATCCGTGAACCATCAGTACCTGGCTTAATTAGTTCTTATACAATTTCCAGTTATCTAAAATCTCATTGGTATTATTTCAAAGTATTTAAAAAGAATCTCATAAAAATATCTTCAATAGGTAGTACTTACTTAAGAATCATAGTCATTGTTTCTTTTCGATCTTTTCCTTGGAAAGGTAGTGTACCAGTGAGCATTTCAAACTATAGAAAGGTAAAATAACCGTAAGTAATAAGTTTCAATAAGCATAAAATCTCAAGGCCAGAAGGTAAATAAGCATCACCTTAATTATAACTAAGTTTTCTGAAGGTCCTACCTATAAAAAGTTTATTATTCCTTCTATATTTGTTTTTGTGTCAGTACTGGGGCTTGAACTCAGGGACTTGAGTTCTTGCTTGGCTTTTTCCTGATCCATGCTGCTATTCTACCATTTGAGCCACACCTTCATTTCTGGGTTTTGGCTGGTCAGAAACAAGAGGTTTCTTTCTTTCTTTTCTTTTTGCAAGTCCTGGGGCTTGAACTCAGAGCCTGAGCACTGTATCTGAGCTTCTTTTGCTCAAGGCTAGCACTCTACCATTTGAGCCACAGCACCAGTTCTGGCTTTTTCTGTTTATGTGGCACTCAGGAATTGAATCCAGGGCTTCATGCACGCCAGGCAAACACTCTACCTCTAAGCCACGTTCCCAGCCTGTTTTTTCCTTTTCAAATGAGGATAAAACTGAAACAATTAATGGGCTACACAGTTCCTCTATACTGCAGGCAATTATTTTCTGGTTATTTATTACATATACTATAAAATACCAAATGCAAAAAATACTAGTTTCTATTTCAAAACATTCACTGTTCGTTTTCATTTAATAAGAAAAATAAGAACTCCCACCTTCTAAACAGAACAAAACAACCTTACCATTAACACACCAAAAGACCACCAGTCAGCGCTCTGAGTATGACCTCTACGATTAACTACTTCTGGAGCCATATATTCCACAGTTCCACAAAAAGAATATGCCTTCTTTTCATGGTCAATAGACTCTTTACTTAGGCCAAAATCTGCCAAAATAAGTATTGATTTCATAAATATCCCACAATTTGCACACATCAATTTTAAACTTTCAATTATAGTATTTACATTATGTTTTCTATTGAGATTAGGTGATTACATAAATTTCACATATTTCACAGTAGTATGGGCTAGAGATACTTAGTTAAAGTTACAAACACATTTTAACTTTCACTAGGCAAATTGTCATTATCATGGTCTATAAAGTTTGTGAATTCTATGAGTTTTGACAATACAACTATTTCTTCCACATCAGGTGATATTTACATTTCTTTCCTTTTTAATTATTGGTGCCAATCCTAGGACTTGAATTCAGGGCCTAGATGCTGTCCTTGAGCTTTTTTTTTAAATTAAACTCCAGACACAGTTCACTTTCACCTTTTTGGTGATTAGTTAGAGATAAGAGTATCATGCACTTTCCTGCCTGGCTGGCTTTGAACCACAATCCTTAGATCTCAGCTTCCTGAGTAGCCAATAAGCATGAGTCACTGGCCTGGCTTATAAGTTTTTTTTAAAACACAGTTTATTACTCAATATTTGTATTATAATCAATTTAAAGGAAATTTACATAGGGTGGGAGAAAATCTATTTTTTATTTGCTTAATTAGTTATATAAAGATATTTCTGTTTTATTTCCAAACATGTTTATAATGTACTACAATTAATCTATGAGAATATTTTAATAAGATGAGGATTTTTACCTGTTAACTTGATATGACCTTCTTCATCAAGAAGAATGCTAAAAAAACAAAGTCAGAAAATCATGTAAATCATCAAATAGAGATTTATATAAGCTACAACTAAATATTATGTTTTAAAATGGTATTGAGATTTGAAATCTGGGCCTTGCAATTATTTGGAAAGCTCTCTTCCACTTGAGCCACACTCCAAGCCCCTTTATGTTTTAGTTATTACTTTTGATAGAGTATTGAGTTTTTGCTTAAGGCTATCCTTAAAACCACAATCAACTTATTTATCTCTCTTGTAGCTCGGATTACAGGCATGTACTACGACACCCAGCCAGCTGAAATTCCTGAAAGCAAAGTTAGAATAAATATGATCATTTGATACTTTAGACTGTTAATAAGAAGGCAAAGGCAATAGGGGAAATTATTTTTGACATATATTCATAAGAGATCCCAAAGGCAATTCCATCAGCTTGTATTAATGATCCAGATGTACCTGAAAATTATTTGGAAAAGAACTCAACAAGGTCTATTCAAAGATGCTTTTTATTTGATGGTACTGGGAATAGGACGACTTAGGGTCTTATACTTGCAAAGCAGATGCTCTATTACTTGAGCCATACTCCTGTCTTTTATTTTTATTTATTTATATTTTGTTGGTCATGGGGGCTGAATTCTGGTCTGGGTGCTGTCCCTCAGCTCTTCAGCTCAAGGCTAACACCCTACTACTTGAGCCACAGTGCCACTTCCAGCTTTTTTCTGCTTATGTGTTACTGAGTAATTGAACCCAGGGCCTCATGCCTGCGAGGCAAACACTCTACCACTGAGCCAACTTCCCAGCCCCTGCATTATTTTTAAAATATAATTTTATTTTATTATAGTGTTGTACAGAGGGGCTACCATTTCGTAAGTCAGGCAATGAGTACATTTCTATTTTGGACAATGTCACACTTCCTTTACTTTCACCCAGTTTCTCCCTCTTATCCCTGTTCACAGGTTACACAGGTCATTTATACATGGTGTATAAAATTACATGATTTTATTTGTTTTTCCTCCCTCCCTCCCTTTCTGTGTCCTCCCTAAAAGAAAAACAAAACAAAACAAAAACAATCATGACCACTACAACTATCAACACCAACAATAACAACAAAAACATGAGTTATTTTTGAAATAGGGGTAGCCTGGGCTGGAGTCCTCCTATTTTTGTGCCTCCTGGGGATGACAGGTGTACACCACTATGTTTAGCCACTGTGCTTCCACCATAGTTGGGTAACAGTACTTGCTACCACTCTCAGCATTGAGATGAAGTCTCTTGAACTACTTTCTCCCTAGGCTAGCCTTGAACAGCATTCTTAACTCTCAGTATTTTACTACAGGTGTGAGCTACTGTGCCCAGGTCCAAGCTGCTCTAATGGTTTTCCAGAATGTCCTGACTACATCTCCCAATGCTTGCAAAATAGAAAGAGCCTATATATTTTAGTTAAAGTCATTCTCTTCATAATTGTGTTTTGTGCTGGTCCTAGGGCTTGAACTCTGGGCCTGGATGCTATTCCTGAGCTTTTGTGTTGAAGGCTGGCATTTTATCACTTGTGCCACAGCTTCATTTCCGGCTTTTTGTGGTGAATTGTAGATAAGGGTCTCACAGATTTTCATACACAGGCTAGCTTTGAACCAGGATCCTAAGATCTCAGCCTCCTGAATAGCTAGTATTACAGGTGTGAGCCACTGGTACCTAGCTCTCAGTTAATTTTAAGGTATTTAACACAAGTATCTTTTTCTAATTTTTTTCCTGACATAATCTATACCCACCTTTCAACATACTACCGTTTTATGTACATTCTGTTTTTCACTGAGCTATCCTTTTACTGTACACTTTCTCCTGTGTCTTTACTCTTTCCCAGGAAATTGTGAGCTCCTAGAGGTTTTGAACTTATTTGTTTTTGTTGTTCAGTGTCTGTGGAGTACAGACAAATAAATGTTTGTTAGCCAGTTACTGGTGGCTCATGCCTATAATCCTAGTTACTCAGGAGGTGTGCCCTGGGGAGTGGTGATATGAAGTTAACAGAGGTAGAAAAAGCCAGGAGCTTCTATCTCCAAAAAATCAGTCAAAATGCAGGCTGGAGATATGGCTCAAGTAGTAGAGTGCCAGCTGTGAGTAAGAAAGCCGAGCAAGAGTTAAGAGTTCATATTCAGGCATCAGGCAGAGAAGGTAGAGACGATCAGATCTGTAACTGAGAGAAAGTAAATGGCATTTAGTGAATGAGCTCTTTGGTCCATGGCCAAGAAGATTGGAAAATGACACTCAGGTTTCTGGCATGAGAACATACTCCAGTGGAGAATAATGCCATTAATTATGTAGGTAAAGAAGCGAATAAGTAAGCAAGCCACATGCTGGTGGCTTATGCCTATAATCCTAGTTACTCATGAGGCTGAGACCTAAGGCTCAGAGTTTGAAGGCAGCTTAGGCAGGAAAGTTCATGAGATTCTTTTCTTTTATTAATAAGTTTTTTTATTGTGAAAATACCATACAGAGGGGTTACAATTACATGAGCAAGGTAATGAGTACATTTCTTAACAAGCATTGTTGCTTCCTCCTTTGTTTCCCCTTACCATCCCTGATCTCCAATTAGTTACCAAATAAGCCAGAAGTGAAGCTTCTGGTTGAGTGCTAGCTTTGAGCCAAAGAGTTTAGAGATAGCACCCAGCTCCTGAGTTCAAGTCCTATGATGGGTACACATATACACACACAAACAAAGAAGGAAGTAAGTACAATAGGCTAATAAATATAGTAAGTACTACGAGCCCATAACTGTCTTTCTGGATAGGTGTTTTTTTTTTTTGTTTCCTTATTTATGTTAGGGTTTGAACTCAGGACTTAGATGCTGTCCCTGAGTTTTTGTGCTCAAGGCTAGTACTCTACCACTTTGAGCCACAGAGCTCCACATTTGGTTTTCTGGTGGTTAACTGGAGATAGGAGTCTCACAGACTTCCTGTTCTGGCTGGCTTTGAACTGTGATTCTTGGATCTCAGTCTCCTGAGTAGCTAGGATTACAGGCATGAACCACCAGTGCCCAGCTTGATAAGTATTTTAGTATGGTTTCAATACACATAAATTAACCACAGTAGAAGTGTGGCTCAAGTGGTAGAACACCTGCCCTGAGCAAGAAGGCTAAGTGACAGGGCACAGGCTTCTAAGTTCATGGCTCAATATTGGTGTGTGCATGGAAGTTCTCTCGTGCGTGCGCGAGTGCGTGCGCGCGCACGCGCGCGCGCGCGCGCACACACACACACACACACACACACACACACACACTCAAAGATGAGGGAAAACAAAGGAAGGAGTAACACTGATCAAAATGTACTGTAGTCATAAACTGATTTGTTGAGTTGAAACTTCTTCGTACTACTAAAGGTAATAAAATATCATATCACAAAAATCTAAGAATGCAATTTCAAAAGTTTATATAGTGATGAGGTGTAGGTACTCTAAATGCAATGCTGTGGGAGTTCTTTAAAGTTACTTTTTTAAGTACCAACTTAATAAAAATACAGTATTGAACTTAGTAGCATGATTTCTTACTTTTCTGGTTTTAAGTCTCTATAAATTATTCCCAGGCTATGTAGATGGTCTAAAGCAAGTGCAAGTTCAGCCAAGTAGAATTTGACATCTTCTTCTGTGAACATCACCTAAAATAAAATAATATTTTTTACCTCTATTTCTTTTTGTGTGTGTCATTTTTAAGTATCCACTTGAGAGTTTAAATATTCAAAGAATTTATAAATATAATTATATATAGCTTTATCTACAATTTACTCAAGAAAGAAATCTGAAAAATAATCTTATCAGTCAAGCAAAACCACTTATTAAATCTTAACTATGCACTGTGGGGGCCTTAATTTTACATTTAAAGTAATAATTATATTCAGAGTTGTACCACTGTTGCACCCCACCACAGTGTTATTTTAGAAGTGAAAGTGATATTTAAAATGCATGCTCAATTGCCACTATTAATTGTTTAATGCTAATGCATTATCACTTCTGAAAAATACTATAAAACAAGCAATGGCTAAGCTAAAGATAAATGGTCAAATGAAAATTCTGCTTTCATTATAAATTCAAAAGAAAGGCAAAGAACTTTTTGGCTCAGGTTCTTCAATGTAAAAATCTGTGCACTAGCGAAAATATGATAAGCATAATACTAAAATATAACAAAGCTTTAGTTGAAACAGCATAAACAGATAAAAATAGACATTAATTATATACCTCTTTGGATAAGCGTGTAAACAAATCTCCTCCCCTGAGAAAATCCAAAATAAGATACAGTTTCCCTTCAGTTTGAAAAGCTGAATGAAGAAATGAAAATTTTGATTTAATTCATTATAGTTTAAATTTTAGGTAGTTCAATTCATTTACAAGTAAATATTATTTTCAGAAAATTGATGATTTTATCACATAAAATTTTTACTTAGAAGAAAACAGATTTCTCTTAGTTTCCATGTGGGAATGTCAAATGCAGCATTTCTTATTATGGAAACCAGTAGACTTTCAACAGGCAAAAATATTTCAGGAATATAGTAGTTCTAAACAATAAGCTCTGAACAATAAGAAAAAACTCGCAGTAGAAAAAGACTTACTTAACCATGAAGTAAAATACACATCATACTACATGAGTAGGTTGATTAAATTTAATTACACAGAGAAAAGAGTCACTGTGACTTTATCCACTAAGAAAAATCATGTGGCTTCATAGAAAAGTTGATAAAAGTTTAAAGATGCTAGCCCGGTGCAGGTGGCTCACGCCTGTAATCCTAGCTACTCAGGAGGCTGAGATCTGAGGATTGTGGTTCAAAGCTAGGCCAGACAGGAAAGTCCGTGAGACTCTTATCTCCAATAAACCACCAGAAAACCAGAAGTGGTGCTGTGGCTCAAGTGGTAGAGCACTAGCCTTTAGCTGAAGAGCTGAGGGACAGTGCCCAGGTCCAGAGTTCAAGCCCCATGACTGACAAAAAAAAAATAAATTAAAGATGCTGACATTAGAAATCTTTCTTAAGTTTAAGATGGGATTATGTACATGGACTATAAAATAATAGCATATTATTGTTATTAGAACAAAATGATCATTATACATTCTATGGCTACCTCTCAGAAACCAATTTTGTATTTTAAAATAAACAGTATAAAATAAAATCTAAGAAGTCATGTTTAATTTCCATGACTTTACTATATATATCTTCTAAAGGCATGCAAATTATACACATTCATATTTGACAATACACTTAGGTGGTGGGGGAATGAGTTAATGGGATGAGATAGGCAGTAGTTCAAAACTTACCATAATGCAATTTGACAATAAAAGGATGGTTAACTTCTACCAAGATATCACGCTCCATTTTTGTCCGAACACGGTCTCGAACTATAAAATTGCACATACATTACATTGTAATTATCCATGAAAGATAATGTTAAAGCAGATTATTTTTGGTGTCTACTTTAAAATTTGCTTATGTGTATAAAATGAGATTTTTATTACTCTTAAATTCACAAATTAATATAAATATTTTCACTATATTATATAGCCAAAAGAAAATTATGTACAGTTATAAAATTTGTGCTCTAAGGAAAAATTAGAAAATACATTGATGATTTTAATATAAATTCTAAAAGTTTTTAAATCAAAGTTGTGAATGTAATTTTTTAAAAAAACAAGGCATCCTATAAAATATTATAACATTAAAAACTGGATCAGATTTTAATTCTTCTACTAACTCTATCACCTCAACTGAACATATGTTAAGTATCTATAAAATGTAGCAGATATGATGAAGGACAGACAGACCCAAAGGTCTATTCTGAGGGAGGGAAAATGAGAAGGGAGAGATCGAACACCATGGTACAAATGAAAGAGAAAAGATTTTTGTAGTTTGAAGTCACCTCTGAGCTATAAAATGAAGCTAATACTACTGGACCGTTGAAAAGTTTGTGGTTACTTGATAACATTTCTACTTAGAGCCTGATATATAAGAAATATTCAAGTAAGTGGTAGTTATTACTATCAAATCCAAAGTAGCACTGTGAGTATGATTAAGGAATAAAACAATGAACAGTGTAGAAACTCAGAAAGAGCAAGATCAGCTTTACTTGCATAGAAAGGCTAGAGGAAAGTCAGGGTTAGAGTACAAGCTTTAAGAATTTTCTAGTGGACTTTAGGATAAGAAAAAGAGGGACTGGGGCTGGGGGTTTAGCCCAGCGGAAGGGCGCCCGCCTGGCGCACTCAAGGCCCTGGGTTCAGTTCTCAGCCCTGGAAAAAAAAAAAAAAGAAAGAAAAAGAGGGACTGAACATCAGGTATGGAGTATCAGCACAAGTAAGGTCATGAAGACATGAGTAATAAAAAGGAAGGAGGCAAATTGGTGTGGAAACAAAAGTTTGTAAGATGGAACAGCAGTTTTATCCTGAGGGCAATTTCTCTTCCAGCAATGAACAAAGTCTATATGGTAGTAATTTGAAACACAAATAACAATTTTCTGTAAGTCTTTTATTTCTGAGTGGTGTAAGTTTTTTTAAAAAATTCTTACCATTGTAACTAATGTTGCAGTGATAATTTTTAATCACATGAATTATTTTCTGAGGTTATGCTTTCAGATTAATTTATCAATATTATTAATAATAGCTCTTTTTTTGTCAGTCATGGAGATTGAATTCTGGGCCTAGGCGTTGTCCCTCAGCTCTTCAGCTCAAGGAGAGCGCTCTACTACTTGAGCCACAGTGCCGCTTCCGGTTTTCTGGTGGTTTATTGGAGATAAGTGTCTCACGAACATTCCTGCCTGGGCTGACTTTGAACTGCGATCCTAAGACTCAGCCTCCTGAGTAGCTAGGATTACAGGCATGAGCCACTGGTGCCCAGCTAATAATAGCTCTTTATACATATTGCAAACTGCTTTCTAATTTATATTCCCACCAAATGAAGTAATATCCCACTATTTTAACATGTATTTCTTTGATTTTTTTTCACCAAACCAAACATTTTCTCAAAGATTATTTTATCTTCTATTTAAATTATTCTGAAGTCTTTTACATAGAAGTTGTAATGGTATTTATTACCAGCTCCTAATTGTCACTCTTTTTACATTTGTTAGTTGGAATTCTATTGGAAGGAATAGCTTTCCCATCTTCCTCACTAATTCACTTATGGATTAACTCACAGATTGCTATTCAGTTCAATGGGTTATACTTTATTATTGTTAATTGGTGAAATGTTCAAAATGTTCCAGATTTAGCCAGCTGAAGACCTTTAACCAAGATTTTAAATTAATATACTATTTGAAGCAAGTACTTTCCTGTTTCGTATTTAAATTATTTTTCATTGTAAAATTGTTATTTTTTTGTATTGTCTATTAGTTGTAATTTGTTCAACATCTCTTTTACAAGTTTCCTAGATGTGCTAAGTTGTAAAAGTCAGATTGGTTGGAGTTTCTTATGGTGTAAAGTTGAAGGGAAGACAGTTTCTAGGATGCTCAGGGACATTTCAAACACAACTTGTGAAATCACTAGTTCATTTCCAATTCTTCTACAAACTGTTTTGTCATAGAGCACAGCAAGTACTTGATATTTGTAACAAATATACACATATCATTTAATATAAGACATAAAGTAATATATTTAAAGGTAACTGGGAATAACAGCTGTTATTACAAGTTTTCCCTAAACATTTAAAGCATAAGTTACTACAAATTGAAGAGAAAGAATTGACATTAGGAATCAATACATCAAACATATATAGATTATGTGGTAAAATAAGTAGTATTAGCAATTAAAAGTAAGTGAGGGTGCATGTGTGTTTGTGTGCTGGTACCAGAAATTCACTAGGACTTTAACATCCTTGCATGGCTTTTTGCCTATGGCTGGTACTCTATCACTTGAGCTATACCTCCAGGCAGCCCAGCTTTATGGTTGATTAAAGATATAGTATCTGCCCTGGCCTCGATCCTCAGATCTCAGCCTCCTGAGTAACTAGGTTACAGGAGTGAGCCACTGGCACCCAGCATTAAGTATTATATCTTTTTGAGGTGGTATTTGGTGGCATTATGCTTGCTACGCAGAAGCTCTTCCACTTGAGCCACATCTGTAGCACTATGTCTAGTATCTTCTAAATGACTTTTTACATATTAAAAGCCAAAATTTGTATTAGAATTTTCAAAATCCCAGGCTCATCACAAAAACTTACTTGGAGACTAAAAGCCAAGATGATAAGAATCTTTTAGAATTAAAGCTATTTTGCATCTAGTAAATTAATAAGTTTTCCAATATATTAAATAACTATTAATTTGAAATCAATTTTACTTTCAAACCAAGGTTTACTTGGCTTGAAATTAATCAAACAAAATTTAATCTCAAATTCTAATTGTCTTAAGCCCAAGATAAACTTTCTTTTTGTGGCAATTTTTCTTCTTTCTCTCTCCCTCTTTTTTTTCTCCTCTCTCTTTTGTTAACAGTACTAAAGATTGACTTCAGGGCCTCTTGCTTAGTAGGCAAGTACTCTATCACTTGAGCCATGCCCTCAGTCCAGAAATTCCTGTTCTCAATTATATGACTAACACAGGACAAAAAAAGTCACTAAAAAAGGGCAGTAACAGGAATATCAATTCAGAATATAAGTAAGTGACTCCCAGTCACATGAGCTCTACACGGAGACCTTTCAGTTTGTTTTGAGTACATGAACATTCCAAACAGCAGAAGCACTTACCTTTCAGTGTAGCCTTCTTCAATACCTTCATGGCATAAAGCTGTCTAGCATCAGAGCCTGAGATTTTTTTAACTAAGAAAACCTGTATTTAAATAAGAGAAAAAGTATTATCAAGTATCACAAATGATCTTCCTTTGTTAAAGTAAGACTCCTTCATAATAAAACTTATTTCCATATTGTATCTATTAGAATGTATATCTATTCTGATATATATATTAAGATTATATTCTGTATCTATGTACATAAATTCTGTATATATATTCTGATACATTACAGATAAATTTATTCAATGTATCCCTTAGAAATAGTTATATACAGTAGTTATAACTTGGGGTGTCAATGTAAGTAAATTTTTTTTTCTCATTTTGTTATTTGCCATTTCCCAAAAAGCATGTGATACAGTAAGACAGAGAAAAATCCTACATGTTTAAAGTATAACACAAGTAGTAATGGCCCTGATTTAGCAAAAGAAATTGTTTTGAATCCACTGACTTTTTTTGGGATGGAACAGAGGGCCTCACATATGGTGGGCAAGTATTCTACCACTAATCAATCTCAGCTTCCTATCAAAATGAGCCTTACAACTTGGGGGGAGTAAGCGGGCGGGGGGGGGAATGAAGGATGGGGTTACTGTTTAAAAACAAATGTAATCATTACCTTACTATGTAACTGTAACTCCTCTGCTCATCACATTTTCAATTAAGATTTAAAAAAAGGAAAAAATTCTGTATTTCTTTTGACCAGTACCAGGGCTTGAACCGGGTCTTGAAACTTGCTAGGTTTTCTTGTTCATATCTAGCACTCTATCACTCAAACTATGCCTCTAGCCTAGATTTTTGTTGGTTAATCTGAAGATGGGAATCTTATGGACATCTCTGCCCAGACTGGATTTGAATTATGAAACTCCAGATCTCAGACTCCTGAATAGTTAAGAATATGGATGTGAGCAATTGGTGCCCAGCCTCAAAATTATTATACAGGCTTCCTCTTGACAATTTTCTGTTGATATATTCACTGTTGTTCTTTCTTTATTTTTTTTTTGGGGGGGGGGGGGTCCGGTCGTGGGGCCTGAACTCTGGGCCTGGGCACTGTCCCTCAGCTCCTCAGCTCAAGGCTAGCACTCTACCACTTGAGCCACAGTGCTACTTCCAGCTTTTTCCTTTTTGCTTATGTGGTGCTGAGAAATCGAACCCAGGGCCTCATGCATGCAAGGCAAGCGCTCTACCACTGAGCCACCTTCCCAGCCCTGTTGTTCTTACCTATATATGAAAACTACAAACTAATCTCACTGTTGGGAACCTTTTGAAATATTTATACTGCAGAACCCTAGTCATAAATGTCTAATGTGACTACAATTCCCTGACTTTTTTTTTTTTTGCCAGTCCCGGGGCTTGAACTCAGGGCCTGGCACTGTCCCTGAGCTTCTTTTGCTCAAGGCTATTGCTCTACCACTTGAGTCAAGGTGCAAGTTCTGGCTTTTTCTGTTTATGTGGTACTGAGGAATCGAACCCAGGACTTCGTGCATGCTAGGTAGGCACCCTACCACTAAGCCACATTTCCAGCCCTCCCTTTTTACAATGATAAAATTATCACATAAACTTGAATTCCAATTTCTAAATATATCTTTATTTTTCAAATATTTTGGCCTGCTTTGAAACAAAATGTGGAACTTGTGCAAAATAAACTCAACTCAAAATAACTCATGGTCACGCTATATCAAGGCTAATACAATACTATTCATTTTTACTGTAACATTCATGGTATTTTTTTTAACCAAATCTTTAAATAGACCTTCTAAATGGACATGGGTTTCTACTCATTTTCCCTACCCTGTTTTTGATCTGCCACAGGTGGGAAGAGAAGCAATTATATTCAAGAATTAATTTTAGAGTAAGTTCTCAATTATCTGACTTAGCATACCAGGACTGGCAGCCCAAATTAACAAAATGATTCACTGAACTGATTCTAGGGCAAGATAAGAGTGTTCTTGTTCTAAGAAATGGTGCCAAGGAAATAGAATCAAGTAAAAAGCAAGACAACTCACACAGAAACCCTAAGGCAGAATATGTTGCTTTACTATAATCATATCTTCCCTGCCTTCAACAAGACCCATCTTTTAGCTCCTTTCAGAAAATTATGGGAAACAATCTAGGAAGAGAAAAGTATTCTTAATTCATGTGCTTCTAATGTAGATTGCTGTTCAGTTAAAGGCAATCACAAATTATGAATACTTTTGAGCAGAAATAAACTAGAATTCAGTGGCGATAATTAGGATTTATCTGAATCCTTTTTTTGTTAAGATTCTCCTATCAGGTCTTTTCCCACAAGAAAAATTCTTGTGGATGCCAAACTTTCTTCAGCAGTTCCTTGAAAACACCTTTTTAACACTTTTCAGTACTTCCTTACTTGCAGAATACTTTAACAGGCAACTGTAATACATCACCATGACAACTTTGGGAGGCAGGCACACTAAACAATGCCAATTTTATAGCTATCCAAATTAGGGCTTAGAGAAGTTAAACAATTTGCTTGGTGTCACAGTGGAGGTTTGGGAATAAGATTTGGACCAGCCACCCAGTACTGGGTTTTAGCTCACAGTACTCTTGAACAGCAGGAATCCCAGCTGCCACCTGACCTTCCTTTCCAGAGCATTTCTGACCTTTCTAACTCCTCCACGAAGCTATTCTAAGCTCTGACAGGTCATCCCTGTTTTCTTGGCTTACATTGGCCTTTAAGGATGAGTAAGAAGGGAGACACCCTATTTTTAATGTTTGTTATTTATAGTAAGGTATTTAAGTTACTTACAAAATAAAAGGAGAAGCATGCTAATTCCTAGGAACTTAAATATTGTGCTCTCTTAAATCTAACACATAAAAATAAACTCATCTATTTATGTTTATTGTGTTGCATGATAACATAATTTAATGCCAGATATTATGTGTTTGGCCTTACATTATTTCTCAACACTACCCTATGAGGTCAGGGCTATTACTCACTCATTAATTCTTTTCAGAATTGTATGCTAGGCACTGTGCTACTGGTTAATGCTGAGGCAGGCATGGCTCCTGCACTCATGGAACATAGAGTCTAGTGGAGGAACACAGCTAATAAAGAATTTTACGAGGGGAAAACTGCAATTATGTTAAGGGTTATAAAGCTGAAGTATGTGATGTTGAAAGGGTGTATGTAACAGGGGATTATGACCTAGGCAAGACAGAAGAGAAACTTCTTTAAGATCACAGGTACAAAAAGAGCTAACCAGCTGAGGAAGGGGTTGTGTGGGACAGGGTATTTCTGGCAGAGAATAAGGAAGAGGAAAGGCTTTCTACTGAGAAGAAGCCTGGCATGCCTGAGGAAAAAAGGCCAGTGGGTTCAGAAAACAGAGTAAAAACTACGTAAGACTCATGTTTTAGAGGTAACCAGGGGTCAGGCTGAGGGGCTCCTTAGATATTAAAAGAACTTGTCCTTATCATAAAAGCAAATGGAGGTCACTAAAAGCTTAAGGGGTTAAAATCTAAGACTATCATGTACATAATACACTGAGGTAAGAATAACTTAATTTTGGGAAAACCCAGTTAGGAGATTCCTTCAATCAGCTAGGGAAAGACAGTGGTAGCATATTCTGGAGAGCATTATTTAAGAAATCTTTATTAAATCAATAGAGATAGGTCAAATTGGCTGTGTGTGTGTGTGTGTGTGTGTGTGTGTGTGTGTGTGTGTGTGTGTTGAGAGATCTTTATTAAATCAATAGAGATAGGTCAAATTGGCTGTGTGTGTGTGTGTGAGTGTGTGTGTGTGTGTTGAGAGAGACTTAAAGAAGATATGAAGAATGCCTTCCAAGTTTCTGGCTTAACTGGATGCCATTCATAGTAACAGGAAAAAAAATGAAACAACAGGTTTGAGGATAAGGGAAGATCATGAGAGTTTGGTCTTAGACTAATGAGGTTAAGTACCTTTATTATATACAAATGGAAAAAATGTAGCTGAACATAAGAATTCAGAGCTTAAAAGAATAATTTATATTGGACCTGTTATGGCAGGCGTATGTGAATTATAATTAAGATAGAACATAATCAATTAGTAGGCATGTGGAGATGGCAGCTTAGAATCAAACACAAAGAAATTTTAGTATTAATTTAATCACTGGCTAGAGGAGGAAAATGGGGCTCCAAGAGGTTAAATATCTTGCTGAAGAACACACAGTAAATAGAAGAAAAAATGGAATTCAAATCTGGCTTAGAGGATAAACTTAAAACCATTATGTTCTGCTGACTACTAAGTCTATATTTGGACTAAAAGCACGCTTTGGGTTTGAAAGATGTTAACAACTATAACAAATTACCTATGTTACTCAAGAATTGCTAAATAGTCTCACTAAAATACACAATAGAGTTGAGCTAGTGCTGTTTTGAAGCTTGTAAAACATGACGTCTCTAAATGTTTCCTTATAGAGTATTAGGAATTACTGCACTGTCAAAGTAGAATACACTTTCTGGATTTTCCTCTTGCTGAAAACAGTTCTAGAATTATAATGCTATACTTCTCAAAATAGAGCAAAAAGTGCTCCAATGGTATTCAGAAGGGGGATAAGGACTGTTTGAAGGAAAGTGATTAAGATGCTTGGTAGTTTTGGGAAACACTTCTTTTGTGTGCTAGTCCTGGGGCTTGAACTCAGGGCCTGGGCATTGTCCCTAAGCTTCGTTTGCTTAAGGCTAGCTAGCACTCTACCACTCAAGGCACAGATATACTTCTAGATTTTTTCCAAGTAGTTTGTTGTAGGTAAGAGCCTCAAATGAGAGTGAGGAAGCTGTGGGTGGGGGGGAGAAGTGGGACAAAATGGAGGGGGTTAATATTAACATTGTTCTAAGAAATGTACTCATTATCTTGCTTATGTAACTGTAAACCCTCTGTACATCATATGTACAACAATTTTTTTGGGGGTCCGGTTGTGGGGTCTGAACTCTGGGCCTGGGCGCTGTCCCTCAGCTCTTCAGCTCAAGGCTAGCACTCTACCACTTGGGCCACAGCGCCACTTCCGGCTTTTTTCTTTTTTGCTTATGTGGTGCTGAGGAATCGAACCCAGGGCCTCAGGCATGCAAGGCAAGCGCTCTACCACTGAGCCACCTTCCCAGCCCATACAACAATTTTTTTTAAAAAAGTCTCATGGCCTTTCCTGTCTGGACTGCACTGGACTGGAACCATGATCCTCAGGTGTCAGCCTCCTGAGTAGCTACGATTACAAGTGTAAGCCACCAGTGCCCAGTTTGGGAAACATTTTTGATAGGCCAGTGACTGCTATATATAGTGAAACCCTGTCTCAAACACCAAAAATCACCCCTTGCTGCTCAAAATGAAACTTTGTGTTCCTTTTTTCCATACTGGTGCTTGCCTCAAGCTCTTGCTCAGCTTTTTCTGCTCATGGCTAAAGCTCTACCACTTGTGCCCTGCCTCCAGTTTCGACTTTTTCTGGGTAACTGAAATAGTCCCTCAGATTTGTCTGCCTGGATTGGCTTCAAACCTTCAAACCTCCTGAGCAGCAAGGATTATAGGTGTGAGCCATCAGTGCCTGGCTTTGCGCTCATTTTTAAATGCAGTACTGTCTAATCTACACTGGAAAAAGAGCCCAGTTTATAGACAATTATGTGAATTTATTTTGTTGGTCATGGAACCTGAACTCTGGGCCTGGGTGCTGCCTGTCAGCTCTTCAACTCAAGGCTAGTGCTCTACCACTTGAGCCACAGCATCACTTCCAGCCTTTTCTGCTTATGTAGTATTGAGGAATCGAACCCAGGGCTTCATGCATGTAAGGCAAGCACTCTACCACTGAGCCACCTTCCCAACCCCAATTAAGTGAATTTTAATCATTTAAAAAGCATGATTAAAGAGGTCATGTGGTTGTAAACATACCATGAATATTAAGTAAATACCTCCAATTTCTTAAAGTTTCCAATGTACTTTTGAACGACTTTATTCATTTTTCCACACTTACTGATAGTAAAAGCTGTAAAAACATAGCAAACTGCTGGTAGGTAGATTTGGTGACATTTCAACTTTCACATGGGAGGAATTATAAATATACACACATACATAAATTCCAAAAATCAACTATTTTATCCCAAGATCTTTTAAGTTTTCAATAGGTTCCTTATATCTTTTAATCTACACCTTACTTTGTGCCTCTTCCTTTACAGTACATTACTGACACATAATTCTACATACTTACGAGGTAGTGTGACAATTTGATACATGTACACAATGTATAGTATAATTACCAAATCAAGTTAGCATTAGCATTTCCATTAGCATTCCCTTCGGTTTAAATATTTCTAGCTAAGTCTGATGTCATATGCCTACAATCCTGGTACTTTGATGGTTAAGGCAGGAAATCTGTGGGTTTGAGGCCAGCCTGGGTCACATAATGAGACCCTGTCTCTAAAAATATTTGTAATTTTTTATGCTGGGAAGCTTCAAATTTCTCTCTTCTCTTAATTAGATACATCGTAAATTATTGTGAGCTATAATTACACTACTATACTGAGCTACATTAGATTATTTCTGTGTAACTCCATTTTGGTGCCCTATTATCCAACTTCACAAGGCCTGGCCATTCTCTCTTTTTTTTTTTTGTCAGTTGTGGGGCCTGAACTCTGGGCCCTGGTGCTGTCCCTCAGCTCTTCAGCTCAAGTTAGCACTCTACCATTTGAGCCACAGCGTCACTTCCAGTTTTCTGGTGGTTAACTGTAGATAAGATTCTCAGTGACTTTCCTGCCCAGGATGGCTTTGAACCGCGATTTTCAGATCTCAGCCTCCTGAGATTATAGGTGTGAGCCACCTGCGCCCAGGCATTCTTATTCTTTAGTGACTATTATTCTAGTTTCTACTTCTATAAAACTTCTATGAGCTTTAAAAAAAGAAAACACTCAGGACTTACCTTTCCAAATGATCCCTGCCCTAATACTTTCAAAAGTTCAAACTGGGAAGGATCTGCTTTTTCATGTCCTTCCTTTACATGATGTGTGATTGCAATTTCTTTGATGCTGCCTTCTTCCTGTTGAAGTAAATATAGGGAGAGAAAACAAAGTTATTGAGAGCTAAAGTCTCCCACTAGAAATCAAACAATCTTAATTTACTATAACATATTAGAAACCCTTACACTAATCTACGAAACTACTCCTTGCTGACCTACTGAGCAGAAGACATGCCAAGCAAATATATTTTCAAGTTAAATATTAGAAACAGATGTGTAACATCCCACCAGGTAAGTCATATTAATTTCTACATGATATTAGCAATGAGTATTTTCAAGTTTTCATTCTCCCTATCAGAGATAATCAGAATAGATGAGAGAGTAACAGAAGATGAGTAGAAATCTGAAAGTAAGAGAATTTGAGTAATATTGTCCTCTGAAATGGGAAAAATACTATACACAAAAAAACCCTGTTTACTGAGGGCAGGAACTGAAAAATATTCCATGATGAAGAAGCTAGGTTCTTTCTGAAATATAGCTTAAAAGAAAGTATCTGAACTTTGGGAATGGTAGTTCATGCCTGTAATCCTAACTCATAAGAGGATGAGATAGGAGAGAGTAGTAGAGGCTTGCCCAGGCAAAAAGTTAGCAAGATCCTATTTCAAAGTATAAGCCAGAGCAGAAGGCTTGGCTCAAGTGGTAGAGCCTAGCAAGCCCAAGGCCCTGAGTACAAAAAGGCTACAATGCTTGATAAGAAATGTACTCATTGGGGCTGGGAAGGTGGCTCAGTGGTAGAACGCTTGCCTTGCATGCATGAGGACCTGGGTTCGATTCCTCAGCACCACATAAGCTAAATGAAAAAAGCCGGAAGTGGTGCTGTGGCTCAAGTGGTAGAGCGCTAGCCTTGAGCTGAAGAGCTGAGGGACAGCGCCCAGGCCCAGAGTTCAGGCCCCACGACTGGACACCCCCCCCCAAAAATGTACTCATTATCTTGCCCATGTAATTGTAACCCCTCTGTATAGTATTTTCACAATTAAAAAAAAAAAGAAAGGAAAAAAAAAGAAATGAAGAGAAAAGGAAAGACAGGAAAGACAGAAGGAAGGAGAGAAAGAAGAGAAGAAAGAAAAAGGAAGGAAGGAAAGGAGGGAAAAAGGAAAGAAATAAGGAAAAGAAAAAGCTAAATATGATGGTGCACACTTATAATCGCAGCTACATGGGAAGCCAGAGTTCTAGGCTGGCACAGGCAGAATGCTCAAGACCCTATTTGAAAAATAATTGAAGCAAAAAGGGATGGGGATGTGGCAATTTTCTCTACCCACAGCTAGCTAGATTTGTACTTTTTTTTTTTTTTGGCTGGTCGTGGGGCTTGAACTCTGGGTCTAGCCACTGTTCCTGAGCTCTTCAGCTCAATGCCAGCACTCTACCACTTGAGCCACAGCATCACTTCTAGTTTTCTAGTGGTTCATTTGAGATAAGAGTCTCATGGACTTTTCTGCCTGGGCTGGCTTTGAACTGCAATCTCAGATCTCAGCCTCACGAGTAGCTAGGATTACAGGTGTGAGCTACCAGTGCCGGACTAGATTTGTACATTTTTTATTAAAAATTTTTTTTATTAAAAATAAAAATTTTTTTATTAAAAATTAAAGTAATGAAATGAATACTCTGAGCCAGTTGAGATGGCATGTGCCTGTGGTCCCAACACACTTGGGAAGTAAAAGCAGGTACATCTAGAGTTAGAGGACACTTTGACCTGCATAGTGAGATGCTGTCTCAATAAAAGAAAATAAGAAAAAAAGAAAAAAAAAACTAAATTAAAATTCAGCAATCTGAACCAAACCTTCATGTTTTCTCCACAGCTTGACCCAAAAGTTGAATGCCTATACCACAGCATTCACATTACCATGATGATGTATTGTTCATCTGAAGGTAATATATTAAATGTCTATTTATATGGGCCCACAGCAATGATTCCCAGGCCAACACTAGGAAACTTAAAAAATAATAACATGCCAGGTGCCAATGGCTGATACCTGTAATTCTAGCCACTCAGGAAGTTGAGATATGAGGATTGTGGTTTGAAGCTAGTGTAGGTAGGAATATCCATCAGACTTATCTCTAACCATCAAAAAGTGAAAAATATAGCTGTGGCTCAACTGGTAGAGCATCAGCCTTGAGCAGAAAAGCTAAGGGACAGTGCCCAATCCTGGAGTTCAAGCCTCAGTACTGGAGCATGTGCGTGCATGTACATGCATGAGTGTACACGTGAGTGCGCGCACACACACACCATTCAATCAAATGCTTAAATTCACAATAAACTTTCATTACTATTTGGACTATGTAGTTTCCTATTTTTATGGTTTCTAACAGTCCTCTACCATTTATGAGGGGGGAGAGAGAAATTAATTTGACCACTAATCTATTCTTAGCCCTTAACCCATAATTCCTATTTCTATGAGAGCCTCTTTCTTACCTTGGAGACCTCTCCTACCCTCCTATTAAGATTAGTGGCTTGCTGCAAAGCTATTCATCCTGGGGTAGACTTTCTGGACAAATCTACCATTTTCAATTCTGTCTCCTTTTTAGGTTATAATCTGCTAAGAAAGACGAAAACCGAACTTTGCATATCTGTAATGTTTTGCCTCATATTTGTATAGTATGGCTTGATATCAAATTTTAGAAAAGAATCTTGCATCAGAACTTTGATGCCATGCTTCCATTGCCTTCTAGCATCCAATGTTGCCCATGAGCTGAATGATGACAGATGGCAAGTGGTAGAACATCTATCTAGCACAGTCTTAAGTTCAAAATCTAATATCCCTCCTCCCACCAAATTGGAGATAAAGGATGGTAACCTGTTTCTTGTCCTGGTTTCTCTGAAACTCCACATTGAAGAAATAAGTAAAGTGCTTCTTAGTCTCAGAATACTAGATGCTTTGTGAACTTTTATCATCTAATGGACCTGAATTATTTAATCTCTATATGGGAATTCTAACATTTCTGATAGTTTCCTTCCATCCACTTTTAAGGGCTTCTCTTTTTTTGTGGTTCTTCTATTAGTTGGATATTGTGTCTGGAATTGAATTCTCTGTCACTTATTGCTTTTCTTCTATTTTGTGCCTCCTCTGTGTGTGTGTGTGTGTGTGTGTGCGTGTGCGTGTGTGCGTGCAGGCACATGTCCTAGGGCTTGTACTAAGGGCCTGGGCACTGTCCCTGAGCTTCTTTTGCTCAAGGCTAGTGCTCTACCACTTGAGCCAACAGCTCTATTCTTAACTTTTTGGTAGTTTACTGTAGATAAGAGTCTCATGGACTTTCCTGCTTGGGCTGGCTTTGAACTGTGATACACAGATCTCAGCCTCCTGGGTAGCTAGAATTACAGGTGTCCTTTCTCTCTCTTTTTTTTTTTTATTATTCTGGAAAATCTTATTTTAAACTTTCAAGTCATCTCTTTCTTAGTTTTTTTTTTTGTTGTTCCACTCCTGGAGCTTGAACTCAGGAGCTGGGCTGTCCCTTAGGGCTGTCCCTCACTGTCCCTGAGCTTTTGTGCACAAGGCTAGCACTCTATCACTTTGAGCCACAGTTCCATTTTCGGCTTTTTGGTAGTTAATTGGAGATAAAGAATGTCACAGACTTTCCTGCCAGTCTGGTTTTGAACCACAATCCTCAGATTTCAGCTTCCTGAGTAGCTAGTTATAGGCATGAGCCAACGGTGTCCAGCAATTAGTGATTTTTTTTTTTTAAGCTGGTCATGGGGCTTGAACTATGGGCCTGGGCACTGTCCCTCAATTCTTCAGCTCAAGACTACCGTACTACCTACCACTTGAGCCACAGCACCACTTCTGGCCTTTTCTGCTTCTGTGGTGCTGAGGAATCGAACCCAGGGCCTCATGCATGCAAGGCAAGCACTCTACCACTGAGCCACCTTCCCAGCCCATTAGTGAATTTTTAAAAAAACAGTCTTCCTCCAACCTTCACCCTCTCCCTTCAAAATGAACACAATAATTACAAATCCTCAAATCTCTTTGAGGATTCAAATTAGCATTTAAAATGTTCTTTTAAACTGGGCTTCAGAGTACAGAAAATTTTCCTTGGGGTGAGAGGAAAAAAAATCAACATTTGTGGCAAATTGGACACTGGTTAATTTCTAAAACCTTGCATGGTTTTGTTCTTTTTAAAATTTTTGTTCCTGCTAAAGCTCAAATTGTTTAAGATCTAAAGTTTTAGTTATCAAATAAACAAATTCTATTGACTTTTGTGTATTTTTGGCTTGTAAAATATTTTGCTTCATATCTATGTTCAGATTGTGCTTAATGCTACTAGGTTATGAAGCCATGTATATTTTAGAAATGATCTATGGTTCAACTAGGACATAATACTAATGCTTCAGTAAAAGGTAGGAAATAAACAATTTGTTCTTCTAATGCATACCTGGAATCTAATATGTATGGATGCAGAGAGGATTATCAAATTTCCAACATGCCAGTCAACCAAGAAGAGACTGACATATACATGTGACAAAAAACATGCCATTAATTCTTCTGTTTCTGAAATAAATCTGTCACTTGAAAACATAGAACTACAGTCTGACAGTTTGTGTTTGTGCTTGTAAGTACATGATGAAGAAGCTACAATTTTATTAAAAAAAGAATTTTGTCAACAATGTGGAGTACAGACACAAAGTCATATTACATTCTAATTGCTATACAAAGCTCAGGTATTTTACATTGTTTGACACAACCTTAGGTGTAATATTTGTCTGCTCATCATCACAAAAAAACCCTGTGCATTTAAAACACAGTTACAAATTCATACTGTTATTTTGACAGAGTCTGTTTATTTGATAAGCAAAAGTCCCATTATAGACAAAATTTTGAGGCTGGCAGTGAATCTATATCACAATCTGTCATATCCTTCCATAAGTCCTCCAACTATTTCTCAGAGTCAACCAGTCTAAGGATACTGAACACCACACCACTAAAGGTCCTTAAATATATTCTTAAATAGTCTTTAAAGTTTTACTTGTTGATTGGAGAAAAATGTTAACCTAATATTTCCTTTTAAAGTTGTGAGGGAAAACATAATTT